TATAAAATCGACTTCAAGGGATAAGAAGTGAGTACCGTTATTGAATGTTCTTGGAAATAAGGACGTAATTTTCGAGCAGCGATAACAAGGGCATATGCCAACTTCTCCATCGCCGGGTATCGTAATTCAGCTTCATGTAAGGCCTTACTGATATAGTAGATTGGATATTGTTGACTTCCTTCTTCACGAATTAGAACAGCACTGACTGCGGAGTCACTTACTCCCAAGTATAGATATAACATTTCTTCGGGAATCGGTTTTTGTAAAGTTGGGATTTGAAGGAGTGTTTCTTTTATTTTATCCAGAGCTAGTTGACATTCTTCTGTCCATTCGAAGCATTTTCCCTTCTTTATAGATTCGAAGAAGGGTTTGCATCGATCTGTTGATTTGGATAGAAACCGATTTAAGGCAGCAAGTCGGCCGGTTAGGGCTTGAACTCCTTTGACCGATGTGGGAGGTGATAGATCCATAATTGCCTTTATTTTCACTGGATTAGCTTCAATACCCCGTTGAGTGACAATATATCCCAAGAATTTTCCAGAACCGACTCCGAAAGTGCATTTCTTTGGATTAAGGACCATTGAATATTCTCTCAAGATGTTGAACATTTCCTGTAAGTGATCAATGTGATCGGCTGCGTGAACCGACTTGACTAACATGTCATCCACGTAAACTTCCATGGTATGTCCGATGAGTTTGGCGAACATTTTATTAACCAGCCTCTGATATGTGGCCCCAGCATTTTTAAGACCGAACGGCATCATAGTATAACAATATAATCCTCGGGCTGAATAAAAAGATGTATGTTCTGCCTCGTCTGGGTCCATTGGAATTTGATTATAACCTGAATACGCATCCATAAAGCTCATCAATTCATGTCCTGCTGTGGCATCCACCATGTAATCGATATGCGGTAAAGGGTAACTGTCTTTGGGACAGGCTTTATTTAAGTCGGTAAAATCGATGCAAAGCCGCCATGCACCGGAACTCTTTTTCACGAGAACAGGATTTGACACCCAAGTCGGGTATTTGGTCTCTTGAATGAACTTGTTGTCAACCAGTTTTTGAACTTCTTCTTCGAGAGCTTTCTGTCGATCAGGACCGAGTTTGCGTCGTTTTTGGACCACTGGTTTAATTGTTGGATCTAAGTTGAGTCGATGAGAAGCGACCTTTGGATCAATTCCTTTCATATCTTCGTGTTTCCAGGCAAATACGTCGGAATTAGCTTTGAGGAATTGAATGAGCCGAGTTCGTATTGGTTCTTGAAGATTGGCCCCAATTTGCACCGACTTGTGACAAACTGGATCATCAATGAATATTGCCTCGACTTCTTCTGACGGTTCGGCTCGTTCAAGTTTGCTTTTCTCCTTAAATTGAATTCGCGGATCAAGTACATCTTCCTCTCTAATTGGCTCTTTTCCTGGACGTCTTCCACGATCATAAATCGAATCGTTATTTAATTTCACAGGATCGAGTTCCATCTCGGTATTGCATGATTCCGAGTTGATAAGTGTTGAATTTTCTTGACTTTCTTCAATATTTTCCATCATTTGTACGGGCATACAGGGTTCATGCCAGGGTTTTACCCATACCATTCCGCTAGCTTCGTACTGGTCTCCATAATGAGTTCCTTCCCCATTATTAGTAGGAAATTTCAGAGCATAATGAAATATTGATACAGCTGCACGAAGCTTGTATAAAGCAGTCCGTCCGATGATGGCATTATATTGATTTTTAAGATCCATGACCTTGAATGTCTCCATAATAACTTTGGAAGCTTGTCCAGGAATTCCAAACCGAATTGGCATAGTGATTTCGCCAAGGGTTGTCGTTATAGTTCCATTAAAGCCTTGAACTTGATCTTTACAGGGTTTTAGCTCGGCCGGATCGATTCCCATTTGTTCAAATGTACGTAACATCATGATACTTGAATATGCTCCGGTGTCTACCAACATACGATGTATCGGTATTCCACAGATGGGTGCCGTGATTATCAGGGGATCAGCATGAGGGTGAGCAAAATAACTTGCATCATCAACATTGAATGTAATCGGGCAGTTGTTCCGAGCATTAATTTTATCTCGGAGGTCGGTAGTTAAAACTGTTTTTCCCGAGTTAAAAGCTTTTCGAGCATACGCTTTTATTTGCCTCCGTGATTCCAACGTTGCATTGCTGCTGTTGTTGACCCGAGGTACATGGTGTGAGTTGTCAGGATTGTAGTATCCTCCTCGATACATCATTTCAGTCGAGTCTTTCTCTCTTTGATTCGTCATATATATTTCTTTCTCGTTTGATCTCACCCGTTTTGGATTAATTGGGCGTTCTTCATCGTCTTCATCGTCTGGTAAATCAGGCATTCTTCCTTTTCGTTTATAATCAGCATTCTTAGCAAATCTTTGGACTTGAGGATGTCCAATAAGTCGCAACAAGGCAGAAAGTAAACCGAGACACTCATCAGTATTATGGCCTGCCGACTTATGATATGAACAATATCTCGTTTTATCAAGTTTATCTTCAGGTGTTCTGACAGGTCGAGGATCAGGAAGAATTCCTTTCCCTTTTAATTCTTCGAATATTGTTGCTGCTCCTGCCGAAAATACCGTCTGGTAGCTGGATTTAACTTCATTGAGATATTTAGTTCTGGCTTCTTGCACTTCGGGGATTTTTGGATTCCCAAATCGAGACTTATTCGGCTTGAAAAATTTATTTTTCTTCTTTTTTGATTCTTGCCCGACTTCCGACTTCAACGAGGAAAAATCGATATTAGGAACCGACATTGATTCTTCGGCTAAAATATGCTGCTGAGCCCGAGCTAGAAAGTCTTGGAACGAAGTCGGTTTATTTTGACATATACTCCATCGGAACAACGAGTTTGGCTTTAATCCGGCTATGGCTGTGACCAATAGCGTTTCGGGATGGCATTGCTCCATATTTTGTATGCGTTCGTTGAACCGAGTAATGTAGTCTTTCACGCTTTCATCATCTTTTTGTACAATATTTGCGATTGACTCTTTGGGAATCAAAGATACTCGGGCCCCAATAAAATGAGAGCGAAAAGCTGTCCTCAATTGCTGCCACGTGGAGATTGAATACCGAGATAGAGAATGATACCATTTTTGAGCTCGTGGTCCCAAAGTTAAGGAAAACATCCGACATCTGAGCGCTTCATTTGCTCCATGAAGATCCATCCAAGACGTGTACTGACCGAGATGGGCATCAGGATCGGAAGTTCCATCATATAGGCCGATTTGCGGAACTTTTACTTTAGTTGGGATAGGCTCTCTAGTTAAATGAGGAGCTAAAGGAGTTCCAACCTCTTGATACGTCTCTTCTATCACTGGAGTTCGTCGTGGCGGTCCTCCATGTTCATCTTGGCAAGTCTCCAGCTCAGCAATCCTTTTTCTTAACATTTCTAACTCTTCTGATTCGCGTCTTTGGTGATTCCTTTCGATTAAACGACGTAACTCATTCTGCCCATGACGAGCATGGGTTTGTTCAAGAGTGTGTCGTAAATCAGAAGGTTGATCTTGTCGTGATAGTTCTGGTAACGATGGAGTAGACTGTCGTGGTCGATGTCCAGAATGGCTTTCTGCAGTCGCTTCTGATCGCGCTGGTTCTGGAATTCGAGTTTGTACTGGAACTACCCCACGATTCTGAGTCGTTGCATCATGTTGAGATTCATGTGTACGTGGATGAGAAGTTGCATGTGATGTTGCAGGAATATTATTTCTTCGTGGAACTGGAGTTGAGTGAATTTGAGGATTAGCCGCTGCGGTTGATTCTATTCTTGTTCGTGCCATAAAATCAGTTAAGTTTTTCAAGAACTCTGGATCTTGAAATAAAGCTGAATAATCAATTGATGTAGATGGCACGGCAGAAGTTCCGGTTGTATGAGTTGGATGACGATTGATCCCAGGATCAGGATTTCGTTCATTTCGTCCAGAATTTGACATCCTTTGCGTGTTGTTTTACAAGACAAACAATTGAAAAGGGAGAGGGGCCGGGCCCTTCTTCTAGCGCCAAACTGTTGCTGTCTTGAATTAACAACTTCAATTTAAACACAGTTGATGTTTCAAAAATGAAGATAAAAGTTTAATGGGATTTCATTGATTATGTTTACAAGAGTACAGAAGTCGGTTTTGAGCTGAAAACCGAGATTGTCTTAAGTTCGTGTACAATGTGATTGAAAAAGATCCTCGTAATATCATAAATTCTGCTATTTATAGTACGGTGGCTTTTGTCCTCTTCCTCGAAATGGATAGGGATGCATTTAATATTGAGCTGCTTTGTTTTGAGGCGGCGGGAAACATCAATGATTGTCTTTTTGTTTCGTTGGTCCAATCAGATGCTTCTAATGATTACTTTCTGTTGGAATGCTCAAACTTCATAGTAGTCGGTTGACTTGATGTCGGTTTATTTACATTGATTTCGGATGTCGGTTTTGATCTTCTTGAGGGTCTGTTGGAAGAGATCTTCCGGAAATCGGCAATTATAATGAAGTCGGTGACTTGCTCTAATATTCGCAGTACTTAAATTCTGATTACTGGATTTGATATCAACAAATGCCACATAAATAGAATTTATTAGGTTCTATTTATTAGGTTTTATTAATGATTTGCCACATAGGTAAAATTTATTAGGTTTTATTTATTAGGTAAAATTTATTACTTAGCTAGGAATTAGATATATATAGATTTGTTGATACGATATTTTTTTAGGCTACACTTGTGTGGCTCTCCCATTTCATCTATCTTGTATTGAGTTGTTTTACCCCATTTGTATTTTTATTTTGTGTTTCAGTTAATGAGATTCCTATCATTTTGAAAAAATAAAAATAAAAATCAACTAGGTATCCCCCAATTGCAAACAGGGCCATTATAGCAAAGATTAAATGGCTCCCGCATTCAATATGCAAGAGAACAGGGGCCTAAAAACAAATATTGAATGCTTTTGCAAATATTGAATGTTTTTTTGGGATGTGTCGGACACATGACCCAATTCTCAAATACAGTTAATCCGTCTATCTTCGTCAGATTCAAATCCGCCCCTTCTCTCTCCTCTCTTTCTCTCTCTAGTATATATTTGCTTCTGCATTTTTTTTTTCTTTATTCCCAACTCTCTTAAACCTCCACAAACATTTTTCTCGTAATTCTTTGTTTTTTCTATTTGGCAATATTGAGCTCGATATAGAAAAAAGGGAAATCAATGGAGGGCGGATATAATCCTCGAACTGTTGAAGAAGTTTTTAGGGATTTTAAGGGTCGAAGAGCTGGAATTATCAAAGCCCTTACTACAGGTTATCTTCTCTGCTTTTTCTCGTTTGATGTAGAAAACTCGGTTGCTTGTCATTATTCAGTCTGTTCTTTATTAGTTCTCATTTTTGTATTTGTTGATATTTGGGTTTATGTGTTGCAGATGTTGAAGAATTTTACCAGCAGTGCGATCCTGGTAACTTTTTTTATTTTTTAATTTGGAGCACTTGTCTTTCGTTTTGTTTATTTGTTTCTTTACTCCTAATTTGATTTATTTGTGATCCTCGGTAGATGTATGAAGTTCATTGCCTTGTAATTTAAAGAATTATCGCTCAGTGTTTGAGAAATTCCTGTTCAAACGAAGCATTTTTCCGCAATATATTTGTGATTGAGTTGATTAAGTTAAAAATTTTACGTTGGAAGAATATTAGGTTTGTTTTTTCTGTGATTTGCTTTTTTTCTTTTGATATTTTATTTATTGAGTGGATTATTCGAACAAGAGCAATGCAGTTTTATGTGTATGCCAAGTAGGGTTTTGTGAATTGAAATGGTCGTAGAAGATAAGAGCCTTTATTCCGCATTATGTGCTGTCATTGTGTGGGACCTCTATTATGAGTCTTAGCTGCACAATTGAACGCGCCAATGTGGTGGCATTCATTTCATTCTTTTTCGTCGGATTTGACGTGATTAACTGTACCGACGATTGTTTTGGTATCTTGTTTTAAGGAATTTACTTTGTTGAGTTTTGGTACATATTTAAATTTAAAATTTGAGAGTCGTTATTTTGCCAAGTGATATCTTAAATATACCTTGAGGACTAGAGATGTTTATCTGACGTGTTAAGGCTGATTAAAAGACAAGTGTACAACTATACATGCATCTTTTTGCCTGCTATGATTGTATCTTATTCTTATTAATCCATTTGGAGAAATAGATACTTCCTTTTATATTCCTGGTTACGTTTATGTTGGTTTCTGTAAGATGTTCATGGGAGATGGGACTGGCATTTAGATGGTTGGTTGAGGAAATTTATGTGGAATTTTATTTTCTTGTAATTTTAGATGAACACTTATAAACACGTGCCCTTTGGATGCCATTAGGTTTACAGTCTTATTGAGATTTTTAAAATTGGTTATATTGGTCTGTAATACTTNTTGAAAGTATCTCTTAGCATTTGGAAGTTTTCGTGCCATAATAAATGTCATCCCAGGCCTTTGTTTTGTTTGAGTAAAGAATATTGGAGATCTTGCACTTACATACAGATTACTATTCTTGAGAAATTTATGTAACATGTTACAATACAGTAACTATTTAAGTGACAGACCAGTTTTTATGCTCTGTGATTTAGCTCACATAACAATATCCACGTTTAGTATGTTTTTCCTTATCATACCCTAAGCATGTTTCCTTTCTTAAATTGGTTTGCTCTCCCGAAATATATCTATTATTTGTGAACTTTTCAATTGTTTCATGATATTACCTGTCGTGTATTAAACTTTTGCCTGGTGCATAATGTACCTAATGCGGCTGGTGTTAACCTGTTCATGCTTGTATGGGTTTGCAGAGAAAGAGAATTTGTGCTTGTATGGATTTCCTAGTGAGCAATGGGAGGTGAATCTGCCGGCTGAAGAAGTGCCCCCCGAGCTCCCTGAGCCAGCTCTGGGCATCAACTTTGCTAGAGACGGGATGCAAGAAAAAGACTGGCTATCACTAGTTGCTGTCCACAGTGATACTTGGCTGCTTGCTGTTGCCTTCTATTTTGGTGCTAGATTTAGATTCGACAAAGCTGACAGGTAAATTTTTAAAAAATAGTTTTGTTTTCTACTTCTTTCACAATTTACCTTTTAAGCGCTTATTACTATGTGTCTTCATGCACACTCACACATGGTGATAAAGAGAATGATAATAATGGCATATATTACGAAAATACTGTTTGTCCATTGCAAATGAAGCTGGAAGAGTCCTTGTTGACAATTCTCCCGGCATAGTGCTAATAATGGACTAGATCAAAATGGCTCAATTAAATTCTAGTGCTTCTTCTATTAGTGAAGCTTCTAGAAAAAAAATATATATATCAAACGGCGCAATGCACCTTGGGTCGCTACGGAAACAGCCTCCTTGTATAATTACAAGGTAAGGTCTGCGTACAACTGACCCCCCAGACCCCAACCTGTTGGGAATATACTGGGTATGTTGTTGTTGTTGTTGTTGTTGTTATATTACGAAAATACTGTGTGCAGATTTCTCTTCAAGATTGAATGCAGTTTGTAAAAAACAGTTGGTAACTAGGAAAAAGTCGTTCTCCCTTGATTTGTTTTTGTATGGCTATGTTTTTTGTTACGGTTGCAGATGTTTGTTGGTTTTGGATTTATATCTATATTGAAACCAACTATTGTAGCTGCATATGATTCGTACCTTTTTTTTTTTAATTGTGAAAAGGATTTTAAATGTATCGAATTGAAGCGAATACTCACAATTCAATTTGGATTCGTGAAAATATTCGACTTTTTTGTATTTTATTTGTTGTCGAACTTAATTTGTGATTCATTTTCGATTCGATTAAGATAATGAAAATATTTGATTCGATTCGATTTTTTTTTTCAAAAGTTATTTATAATTTTAAATATATTTTTAAATATAAATATGTACAGAAATATTTTTTAGTTACATTTAATATATTTTTTAAGTATAAATATATTATATATATTTAATATATAATATGTAAATAAAATTTATATTCTATATATATATATATATATCAAATTTAATACAAATATTATTAATGAATCGAATATTTGATAATTTCATATCAAATATGTGCATATTCTGATTCGTATAAATTTCGAATACTAAAAACTCTTCTTATTTGAATTCGAATTTGAATTCTTACGAATATGAATAACGAATACCGAATTCATATCACGAATAGAATCGGAAAAGTTTGATTTGCTTACAACCATACCTGTGACTTGATTGACACCTTTTTCTTGTGAGTGACCTTTGCCCTTGGTGCAGGAAGCGACTATTCAACATGATCAATGATCTCCCTACTGTATATGAAGTCGTGACTGGTGCAGCCAAGAAACAGCAGAAAGAGAAATCTTCAGTCTCAAATCATAGTAGCAGCAAGTCCAAGTCGAACACTAAGTCGGTATGGAAAATGGATTATCAGCTGACTCATTTAATTTTTTAGTGTCACTTATTCCCCTTTTATTTATAGTAACTTTCAATTAGCATTTAATCTAAATCCAATCAATATCGAATGTGTACAAAGTAGTATTTTCAGATGTCACATATTCTCTATTCTTTTAAAAGACAGCCTTAAAGTAAAAAATTGATTTATCATAACAAATACTGAATTTTATGTTTGAAAGAAAAAGCTCTTGGGATTTGTCAAAATTATTAAAAAACTAGAGATTTTTTAAACTTCAAAATGAAAAAAAAAAAATAAGGAGATTTGATTTCACCTCATTTCTTCCCCTTTCATCCCGTTATCTGTGAAACTTTTACTGCTGCCCCTTAAATGTGAGGCAAACTCAATCCAAGAGTTGCATCTAATATTCCAAAGTTTCTCTCTGTGTGTGCGAAAGAAGACATTTAAATCAGGCTGCACATCAGTAACTAACTCTCTGTTTATGAATTTTTTAGATTTGAGCCTCATTCTTGACTGTTGTGTATCTATCTATCATACTTTTCCCTCTTTTTTTCTTTTCTTTAATTATTTTACCTTCCTTTAATTTTTCCTGTCACTAGCGAGCATCCGAAACTCAGGCAAAGATTCCAAAGCAGGTGCAGGCGAAAGACGAGGATGATGACTTGGACGAGCATGAGGAAGAAGAAAATGAGGAAGATGAAGAAGATGACGAGCATGGAGACACATTGTGTGGCGCATGTGGGGACAACTATGCATCAGACGACACATTCTGGATTTGTTGTGACATATGTGAGAAGTGGTTTCATGGCAAGTGTGTCAAAATTACCCCTGCCAGAGCTGAGCACATCAAGCAATACAAGTGCCCCTCGTGCAGCACCAACAAAAGGGCACGACCGTAATTTGGGAGGGTAAGAAAATGTGAGAAAGAAAACTCGAAACTTATTTTCGTCCTGGGCAATTATTAGGTTATTGTTTGTTGTTATTAAGTGCTGCGTACGCTTAATTAGTGTTGAAACTGTGAATGGATGGATAATTATGGTCGGGGTTAGCTGGTCGAATGATTTGGTGGTACAGTGGTATTTGTTTGTTTAGTTGGACTACATTTTTTTTTTTTCCCAACTTCTGAGTTATGTTTTGCATTTTTCTGCAGTTCATTCTAGTGATGTGTTGTCTTTGAGTGCATGCATTATATGGCGAATATGCAGCAATCTGTGTTTCATGAGGAGAAATATCATCGTTTTTAGGATGGGGAAAAGAAAAAACTCATTTTCACTTTGGTAAAATGTTTATTTGCTAAAATTCTTGTTTAGGTTGTAAAAGAGATCAGAACGATTTAAAATATTGACGAAATAGAAGTATGAATTTTATACTGTAAACCTAACAATATTAGTGAGGAAAATTGTGAATGATCTCTTATGACAAAAGCACTTAAATTTGTTCACTTTGAATGTTGTTTGTTGTTGAATTTATGAAACTACTCTAACTAAATAAATAAAAGAAAATCTTATAAAGACATTAAACAATTCACTTTTAATGTTTGTTTTTATTAAATTATGATACCACTCAACCACAACTTCTATGGAGTCAGAAAATACCTCCTCTACACATCTATTGACACATCTCCTAAAAGTGTATTTACCAGCTCCTACTAAAACTGACCACTCAAACCAAATATTTACCAAGAGAAAAGTCTTATAAAAAAATATTTTAAATATGCTGAGATGTTTTGATTTGGTTTAAATTTTTTAGTTTGGTATGGTTAATTTTGAAAAAAGTTGCATGGTTAGTTGTTAATGAAATTTTAAGTTTATATTAAATTAGTATTTAAAATAAAATAATTAAAGTTGATTGGATGTAAAAGTATGAGCGAGATGATGTGAAGTGGTGGTTAGTTATAATTATGTGAGTAGATGAATAGTAAATTAAAGATGGTGTAATGTGTAAGAATGATTGAGTGATATTATTTAATTATGTTGATAATATTGAAGATAGTAAGATTGAGTTAAAAAGAAATTATTGTTTAAAAATAATTAAATTCTTTTAAAAAAATTTGTATCCAAGCATGCACCACTAACTTCCTAAATCACACGAGCGAGCAAGCGACGAGAGATGAGATGCTTTACTGAGTCGCTTTAACATAAATTATGTGTCATCAATTAAATTTTATTGTTGTATATTGTTAAATTAATGATCACCCGAACTAAATATTTGTTAAATTTTTTTTTTAAAAGTAATATAAATATAAGATTTTGTGTCTTCATTGAATAAAAATTACTTAAAACTAAAATAAAAATATGTAATAAATATTTACCAAAAAATAGTTTGTCAATTATGTAATTAGTTATCATTAAATAAAAATATGAAACAACGGTAGAGCTTATATATAAAGTGGGCGAACAAGACCTCTTTTTTCCAAAACCACAAAAATATTGTTAAACTTTTTAAGGGGCCGAAGACTACATAAATTATTCATTTTTTATTGATCAGATAATTTTTTTTTACACTCTTCACTTTAAATTCAACTTAAGTTTATTCAACTTAAACTAGTATGAATCACGTGCGATGCACGAGTAAAAGATATTAATTAATATTTATAAATTAAAAATTCTCATTAAATAATATTTATAAATTAGAAACAAGGAATCAATATGGAATACAATGTACCTATATAATTTATTGAAAATATTATATAAAATTTAATTGTGCGAAATTACATAAAAATGTCTATTTAAAATTAGTACACGTCCGTATGTTGCACATAATTGATAATAAATTACATTATATCATTTCAAAATATGTGTCATTTCAAAAATTTTATTCCAAAATTCGATTTGACTATAACGTGATTGTATAAAATAATTATTTTGGTAAAATTTTATCTTATATTTAAAAACTTATGTGAATAATAAGTATAAATATAAAAATTATATTGTTTAATTAATTAAAATAAATTTATTTTTGTATAAAATATCCAAATCAAAAAATTTACGTAGTTGAGTAAAAGCAATCAGTCATAAGATTTTTCAAGCCAAAAAAATCAACACTCTTTATCATGCTAAAAAAATGAACAGTGCATTTCACACAAAAATTATTTGAAATGTGGTAACAAAAAATGAATTAAATCGAGACCCACTAATTATACAAAAAAAAAAATTGACCAAAGCTTTTTCTATAAAAAAAAATATCGATACACGCACATTATATCAAAATATCAGTTCATATTATTTTGTTAGAGTTACGGTAATTTTATTATGTTAATTTTATACGAAAAATTAAAATAAAAATTGAAACCCCACGCCCTAAAACCAATATATTAGCATGCACATTACAGAAAAAAAGTACATCATATAATGATTAATTTTTCAACAATTTTTTTTTAAAAAAAAAAAACAGTTATCAAATAACATAAATAAATTTGCTCACTTTATACCATATTAATTTATTTCCTATAGAAACAACCATCAATACCGAAAATAGATTCATCCACTATATACCCACCATATATTAATTAATTCACATGATTTGAGTAATTAAGGTATCTTTAAAATATGTCTTAATTACTTCCTTAAATAATGAGCCGCAATTACCATATGTGATCATTTGAAACTAGTGTATATCCCGTGCGATGCACAGAAGAGTTCATTTTTTAAACATTTTTTAGACTTTATTTTAAATATAATTATTTATATTTTTCACATCTCGTCTATTATGAAAATAAAATAAATACAACCAATGAAAAATATATAATATTAAATACTTTTCTTTATACAATATTTTTTATTTAAGGAATATTATTAAACCTTACGGTTTTGATTTTTTTTTAAATCAATAATCCAAAATATATGATTGTTAACGTACAAAAAATAATGGAAATAAGCCAGACTTTAAAGTAAAGCTATTTTTTATTATTTTACAAATAAAAATCTTTCAAATTTTTTTTAATTTCAAAAAAAATTTGGCAAGTTTGATAATGAGTTAAATCTAGTTATACAAATGATTAAATAGTTAAAATGTTATATTAATTATATTTTAAGAAATCCGATTATATAAAACTGGGTAAAAAAATATTATACTAATTAGTTTGTTAGGATTGTGATTATATGGAAGTTAAAATAAAATGAAATGTAACAAAAAAATTTGTTCGTGGTTTTTTCCTAAATGTTTGAATTTAAAAATCTAGTAACCAAATTTACATTATATCACGTAAGGAAAAAAATAAATAATAAATATTTATTAAAGAGATAAATCAATAATATTTATCACTTAGATAATGAAAAATAAATATTTACATGTAAAAGAATAAATAATAATATATTTAAAAATATAAGTCAGAATTTCAAATAAAGTAAAAGGAGGGATAACTCATTTTTTAAAAAAAGTTTCTAAATATTTAATATATTAATAAGTATCTCCATAAGAATAATCATACCATTTTAATTTTAAAAAAATTGGCAAGTTTGTGAGAGAGATAAATTTGATTAGACAAATGATTAATTTGTTAAGATATTATATTAATTGTATCATAAAAAATCGTGTTAGATAATGTAGATAAAAAAATATAATACTAATTAGTTTGTTAGAAAAGTGATAATGAAAACCAAGATAAAATGAAATTTACCCAAAAAAATTGTTTGGAATCTTTTCCTTTAAATGTTTGAATTTACAAATTTAATACCGAAATTCTATTATATCACATAAGGAAAAAATAAATAATAAACGTTTATTAATATATTAAAATATGTAATTTTGAATTTCATATAAAGTAAAATGTATGCTTATTCAAATTTATTTTTAAAATAAAAGTTATGATAAGCATTTATTGATTCTCTTTCAAATATATTAATAAAATAAAAATATAAACCTAAACAAATTTTGAAACAACCAAAAAAATCGGATTGATTGGCATAAAAAAAGAAAGTGAAATCGGATTTGAATGCTAAAATTGGAACACCTTACCAAATTGAATGCTAAAAGATTCGATTTGATTGGTTACCTAATTGTATGGGCTGAAAAAATTCAAAAAAAAAAATTTACGAATTGAAGAAGCGGGAAAAACACTATATTGAAGCGGGAAAATGAAATGATTATTTTCGGATTGTTCAAATAATTTTTCTTCTCCGTATTATATAGTAATAGATATACCATAAATTGTTAAATTCATTTCCCAAAATAGTAAATAATTTTTGTTGGAGAGAATAGTTACTATTTAAAAAATAATCAAACCTTTATATACATATATATAGATATCCTCAATATTAACAATATAACTAAATAATACAATCAATCATCCTCACACACGTCAATTTTCACCATTGATCCGCTTACATATTTTAATTACTCATAACTTTCAATCACTTTTGTCTTACATTTAAATCACATCAACTTTAATCATTATTTTTTAAATATTATTTAAATACAAATTAAAAATCTCACTTAATCAGTTTTAATCAAAATAACTTACTTTATCCAATAAATTCAATCAAAACCAAAATATTTTATATCCAGTCAGCTCCTATCCACCCAAATCCAGACGCACTAGACACAAAACCAGACACAGCACTCCCAACTGGGAGACACAACTACTTTCCATTTATGGAAGACACAAACTCTCCCCAAGAGAGAATCAAAGAAATACTTATAAAAGATAAACTACAACTAAAACAATACAATTACAGATTAAATTAAATAGAGTAAAGCTCTCTGTTTCCACCTGACACATCATTGCTACCGCCACCATAAGTCGTCGAGCCGAATCGGTTGGAGTTTGGAATGAGTCCAACACCGGTCCAGCCTGCAGGCTAACCGGTTTCGTCCCACAGCCCGTACATGCTAGTCCATTTAAGCTCGTGTTCCTTAGCGGGCCTAAAAAATATCAGCCCATTCAACTATTTTCCGATACGGGCCGGTCTAATTTCTCTAAATAGAAACAGGGTANTTTTTTCAAAGTAGGGTTTAAACATAAAACCCCCTTACACAATCCTTCAACGTACCTCATAGAGAAACCATGGCCAAACTTGATAAAGAGAAAAAGAAGAAAAAAACGGCGGAGGAAGAGAAACAAGCCGATAATGTTAAAGTTGTGGAAAATTCGGAAACCCTAGACGTGGAAACCATGGCCAAACCTAAAGAGAAAAAGAAGAAAAAAAGGGCGGAGGAAGAGAAACGAAGCGATAATGTTAAGGTTGTGCAAAAATCGGAAACCCTAGACGTGAAAATCATGGCAATCAGCGAAAGCCCGGATCTGAAAACCTCCCCAATCGTTGGATACTTCTCGTCCGGGTACGACCCGCTGAAAAATTCGAAGGGTTCCAATTCTGGCGTCAAGGTCTACAGGAGCGTCAATTCTCGAAACCCTAGGAATCCCAGGATGCAGGTGTCCGTGGAGGCGAGTAGGTCACAGTTGAATTTTGTTGGCACGAATTATTCCGGCGAGGCCACCACGCCGCAGCTGTGTAATTATGCACTTGGGGTGTTGGATAAGGAGACTGGAATTTTGAAGATGGTGCCAATTGCCGGCAACAGGGTGAGTAATTGTGTGTGTGTGTGTATGTGTGTTTTCTATGGTCCCAAATGGTATGTTTGGTGCATAATATGTGCTTTTGCCTGAAAAGAAATGAGCTTTTTGTTGATATTTGTTGTTTCATGCACTGGAGATTTTGATTTATATCTGACTGTAGTTCGGCTTTGGTAAGCTCACTAAGTTGCGCTGTTAGTTTTTATTCTATTGCATTTAAATATTTGCATTGTCAAAAAGATTAAGTTTTCAGGTGCAGTTATCTGTGCTCCTTACTAGCTAAAAAGGGCCAATGAGACTCTTGATTTTAGTGGGATTGTTATTGTGTTTATTTTTATTTAATTTCGTGTTTGTTTGGTAAATGGGATGATTTATAGTCAGAAATAAAACAGTCTACCCTGTTCTTGCTCTGTATGAATACAGATTTTCAGGTTGGAACCAAGAGTTGTAGGAATGGAGCAGCCTGAAAACGTGCACCTGGACGAAGATAAAGGAGACATTGCCGAGGAAAAGGCTGAAAAATTGAGAGATTCGTCAGTATATTCAACCAAGAAGGATATAAATAGAGTATGTGCTCATCAATCTTTTCTATTTTTATTTGATTTTTCATTTTTTGTTGAGGGGGAATAGCATGTTGGCAACATGGGCTAATCTGATCTAGTCTGAATCTTTATCTTGTTTGTGTGTGTTTTGTGTGATCTAAGTAATTATACACTTCATGTTTCACTTCAGCATTATGGTTCTAGAAATTTATAAGACGTGCTTCTTGAGGGATACGGTCCATTGTCGATTAAAAATGCACTATTTTCCATTTGTCTAGGGTATTCGGAGGCATCATTTTCTGTTGCTAAATCCTAACTGTAAGAGAGAGAAAAAAATTGTTGTCTAAAATTTAATAATAGAAATCATTTTTATTCCAATGGTAACAGGAGAAGAAACGTAAAGCTCTACGCCAGACAGAAGCCCCAGGAATGGAGGACATAATGAGCAGTAAATTAGAAGCAATCACATTTAACAAGGAGGCAATTGAGGCTACTGAATCCACTGATTATTCTCTCAATATCCCACCTCACGATTTGCAGGCCACTTCCTCAGACACTGCCTATCCACTTGAAAAGATAATTTTTCAAGGGGAGTGGAATTTCCTTCTCGATGTTTTTGAACTCACTGAGTCGGGTTCAGAACTGAGCCCCGATGTTTATCCAAGTTTCGTTTGCAGTAGAGTTAACAAGTGTGGTGCCATCAAGGTGAGGATTAATAATGAGTTCTTTCAGCTTCAAAATTTGATTGGTTGATTGTTGTGTTAGTGTGTGACGTGTGTCACATTTTACTTTAAAGTTCCAATGTTTTGTTACAATCCTTATTATTTAAAAGAATGAAAAGAATAAACATTAGATGGACAATGATTTACCTACTAAATCTTGTTTTTATATGAATACTTTGTTGACATTGAACAATTGAGAGATCAGTTTAGGGTTTCTTCTAGTTCTTTACTCTAACTTTTATCTTATGTAAGTTAACCTTTAGTCATGAAGTATCATTACAAGATTCACGCAATTCCTGACCATTTCTGATATAACATCATTACTGGTTCTCCATGAGTTTAGCCTTATGATGGCTTCACCATTAGGTTTTGCAATTTCAGTTATTATATTATTCAAGAAGGATTCAAATTCTTATTGCATAAAACAATCCAGAAAAATCACGTTCGCGTTGAAACGAATGCCTGTGCATTTATTATTATTATTTTTTTAATTTCCTACATCTATTCATTTAATACATCATGGTTTTTCTCGTTTTCCTAATCCTAGGACGAGTCAAAGAGAAAGAGGACAGCCTGCATACTGTCTTATATCACTCATCTCATCAAGTACAAGGATAGACACTCGATGGACGGCGTATCATCTGCAAAACATCACAACCTGCCAAGCATCTTGGCACAGAAATTCTCCTCACTATTTGGTACCACGAAACATAACACAATTCCACAGGACAGACTAAAACTGCTTATAAGCTACATCCTTGTCCTCACCTTATTTGTTGACGATTTTTTATCCGACCCAACTGACATAGCCAAGGACCTTCGGATGAACCCTGTAGCGTTAAGACCTCACTATGAATACTTAGGCTGCAAATTCGTGCGCGAAAATCAGGTGCTGCTGGCAACTCTTCCTGTCCCATTAGAGTTTCAGACACTTAAGAGGAAGAAGAGGAGAAGATAGAATCTGTTCACGTTTTTTGTTGCCAGTTTTCCCTTTAAATTGTTATAGACACTCCTTGTGGCTGAGTATGTTGAGAATTTGAGTTTCTGCCGTTTTTGCTGCATAATATTGTGTTGAAGAAAGTGTGTTTGTGGTGGAGGTTTTAGTTGAATTCTGATTTTTAATGTATAACTTAGACTCAATTCTGAGTTTGTTTTGTCTCGAAAATTTCTACGGGATATGAGTTTTGGATTGTTTAATGATCATTTGCAGCACCTCTTGTTTTGGGCTTCTGGGTGTTAATTTTTCATCACATATGGGAAAGAAAAATAAAAATTGTGGTTTACAAACAATTGTGGTTTTTTTTTTCTTTCTTTTTTAACGAATTTCGTTCCTCTTTAGATAAATTATTTGTTTTTACAAAACAAATGAAAAGCAGATCTTTGACCGTTTTCAGCTTTCACTTCTCCTCGATTATTTTACAACACAATTAATTTTAAAATTGTTGCCTAATATCCAAATAATTAATATTTACACAACAAATTTAAATCTAATCTATTCCTTCCAATTTCATTTGCGTATAATATGTCAAATATGGTTGGAGAATATTGTTGTATGTTTTTTTTTTCTTTTTCATTTTTTTTATTAAAAGTAGTGATGTCATTTCCTTTAAAAGACTTAATAACATTTTTATTTTTATACTTTTTTTATATATAGTATTAAATTAACCTTCATTTTACATTACAACATGAATCTATATGACCAGAGGAAGATTGAGTAGGTCGGTTGAACCATAGCTATGACCTGAATAGTTAGGATTAACTCGAAACAAGTAAGCTAAAGGGACAAGGTAACGACTAGCTAAGTCGTACGCCTCGACATCATGATGACCGACCTATTTAACTTTTACAGGCAAGACAGTTTAGAAAACAATCAACCAAAGTACCAGACCTACTGGCACTTAGTATGTCGACCTAAGTGAGAGGGAACATGTGAACGATGTGATGTGAGTAGGTGTGAACACAATCAAGATTTTATAATGATGATCTAATTAAGATATTGATGAATATAATCAAGATAAGGATGACACAAATAGATAAGAATTAACCTCAGGCAGTTGGTCAGCCTCGGTCAGATTGATCTCAGGCAGTCAGGCAACCCCAGACAACAAAAATTATGGGCACTAAGGTACCCTCTATAAAAAGAAGATAAAGTACAACTCAATACCCTCTCTACTACCTGAATTCTCTAGATACATTACTCATCTTCTTCCCCTTTTCAATCACCAACTTGGGCGTCTGAGTAATTATGCCAGAAGCTCCTCTCGATCCTTGTTTTGCAGGGTATTAGCTGTGCTCGAGCGATCAGAGGTTTACAGTCGCCGATCCAAGCAGATTCAGGTTCCTGCACATCACTGAACATGTATGCCAACACATAAATCGTGTTTGCGAACTCTTTTACAATTTCAGGTTTGTTAAATGATCTGGGTTAAGTCGAGCTAAACTTTTGCTACATTCAACAAGCCAATCTTGGCACTAGTCTTTGACTCATAATTAAACAAGCTGAGCTCGGACGTGAAATGCTCCGATCAAATTTACTCGAATTACACCCATCCAAAAAGAAAACAAAATAATAAATAAAAATTAAAATGAAAACCAAAGATGGGAAAAAAAAATAGCAAAAAGAAAAGATTTTGAGAAGACGCGTCAGATGTGACGTCACTTGCCCTCCTAAAACCCTCAATCGGGCCGATCTGCAGCAAAACCTAATACCTCTGCAAAACCCCAGAAAACACGCACACAGCCTCTCTCACCCCCTTTCTCTCATCCTCCGTCGGGTCGCCGGAACCCGAACCCAGACATCCGCCATGGCCTACCAACATCGAGCCTCAGATCAAAGCAGCTCCGCCGACGAGAACACCTCGAACCGCCGTCTCTACAATCCCTACCAAGACCTGCACCTCCCGTCACAAACTCTGTACAATCTGCCGACATCACCGGAGTTTCTCTTCCAGGAGGAGTCCGTCGCACAGCGCCGCTCCTGGGGCGAGAACCTCACCTACTACACGGGGATCGGCTACCTAGCCGGCGCGACCGCGGGCGCCGCCAAGGGTTTCGCCACCGGCGTCCGGGCGATCGAGCCGACCGACACCCTGAAGCTGAAGATTAATCGGATCCTTAACGGGTCGGGCCTCGCGGGGAGGCAGATCGGGAACAGGTGCGGCGTGATTGGGTTGATGTACGCCGGACTCGAGAGCGGCATGGTTGCCGTCCGGGGCACGGACGACGTCGCCAACAGCGTGGCGGCGGGTCTTGCCACTGGCGCGCTCTACAAGGCGGCGGCGGGGCCCAAGTCGGCGGCGGTGGCGGGGGCCATTGGGGGCGTGGTTGTGGGGTGTGCGGTGGCTGGGAAGCAAGCTCTGAAACGTTATGTGCCGATTTAAGTGCCTTTCTCTTTAAATTTAATTTCTCAGGGTTTTTTTTCATCTTTGTTTGATTATCTGGTCCGTAATGAATTGACAGTCTTAATTGTTCATTGGAGGTGGGAATTTTGATGATGAATGTTTAGCTCCTTTGGGACTGAAGTTTGTGTTTGTGTGTGTTTTTAGCATGAAAGTTTCGTGCTTTTTGTTCTGGTGTATATAAAAACAGTATTATTGATACCTTTGCTTGTTTCTAATTGTAAAATGTGACTTCTTGACTGCACTTAGACATGAAAGATTAATATATTTGCTTGTTCCTACTTGTAAAATGTGATACCTTTGCTTAATTTCTAATTGTGAAATGTGACTTCTTGATTTCTAATTGTAGAATGTGACTTCTTGACTGCACTTAGGTATGAAAGGTTAATACCTTTGCTTGTTTCTAGTTGTAAAATGTAATACCTTTGCTTGATATTTCTAATTGTAAAATGTGACTTCTTGATTTCTAATTGGAAAATGTGACTTCTTGATTTCTAATTGCAAAATGTGACTTCTTGACTGCACTTAGCATGAAAGATTAATGCTTTGCGTGAAAGATTAATGCTTTGTTGTTTGCCCTGTGTATATTGGTATTATTGAATCCTCTGGTTCTATGTATGATATTGTATTTTAGTTTCTATGTATGATATTGTCTATTAGTTTCTATGTTTGATATTGTCTTTTAGTTTCTACAAGACATGAAGTGCTAAATAAATTACAATGACATCTTGATGAGTGCATTTTGGAATGTATCTTCACGTATTACTTTTCTAATTGGTCCATTAGGTCTTGTTTCTACACTTGACATGGTTTGGGAGATGTGTCTTGGATTGTCTTATGCAGTTTAACCATAATTACATAAAAATTCTGTCATCTTTCAGTGTCAAGTGTACGGCATTGACATTCGTTTCTATTTTTCATACTGCATTTTCAAGAAAATACAAACTCCATTGTTTTGTTTCTCCAGTCTTTCGGAAAGATCATTGGAGTTTTTGCCTTTAAATAGGGGCTGAACCTTAAGATAGCATTATTAGCCATCATTTGTTCCTAAGCTAATTGTGGTTCTTTGAGAAGTGTTTTCTTGCATGCTAGGTTCAATCTCTATTGCTTATGTGGCTGAGCTGGATTAATACTCATAGTATTTGTCGGGAAAATTTATCTCAGTTGCAATGTTTGAAAATTTTATATTATGATGCCCTAATTGAGTTCAGCCATATGTATGTCTTGTTGAATAACATGAATTGTTCTCTATTGATCATAACTCAATAGGTGAAGATGCTATGGGCTAAGTGTACTTTTATGTTGGAAGTTGTTTATGATCACCAAACATAATATTTCTTTAATGTGGCTATAATTTTGACCTTGAGATTCAAGCAGTTTTGTGAAGTGTTTTTGTTACTTGCCGATCTTCGTCTTACACTTCCCTTGTTGAAAGCTCTTCTATTTGTTTTTGTTTTTGTGAAGTGTGGCTAATGTCTCGAGTTTCTCTCACTTGTACCAGAAATGATAATCTTACTCTTAGTTTGAGAAGAAATTCGCTATTTAAATTTCTTGCTAGGCTACAAAGGTATGAATACTTTTAAAACATCACTGTAGTGATTTAAATAATAATGAAAAAAAAAAATGCAGTCAATTGTTTCAAGTCTATGATCCAGACTGACAATTACGAATATTAAAATAAAAATTAAATTAAATTAAATTAAATCACTCTCGCTGTCTCCTTTTTCTTTCTATACTAATAATTAATTAGCTGTCACTTCATCATACCGATAGCTGTTGTTCCATCATAAATTTCTAGCACTTTTTGTTCTCTAAAATCCTAACTTGAAATGTCTTGTTGTGGGTAAAACTGTGAATTTAATTATTTTTATGTTAATTTATCTTGGCAACTCCAATTGAAAATGTGATATGGGATCCAGATTCTTTTACTTAAGATGATATTATACATGTATTTCAGGGGCGGGACTGCAAACGAGTCGAGTTGAATTGAATATTGGTCTTATTAAGTCGAGCTCAATTTTTCTTATTGCTGCTCGAGGTCGAGTTTTAGCGCTCGACTGGACTAGTAAAAATTTATATAAATGTTTGATATAGGCTCGAGATCAACTTGTAAGAAATTTAATAAGTATATTCATAACTATTAGGCGGAATTGAATAAACCTTAAGTATGTAATTCTATCAATTTATAGAATATGGATCTTTGCATAAATTAAATTGCACATAGAACTTACAAGAATCCAGTTTATAGTCTTTCCCTGTTTTCTTGATCTATGATGTTGATCTGTGACCTCTTCCTCGTAATCTCCAATCATGGATTTGTCCTATGAATTGTTTCTGCACCAGAATAGCCTTAACTTCCTTACAGTCCCATTTATCTTTAATGGTGTTATAGTTCATCTAGGATTGGCCAAACTTGACAGGTAGGGAGTTCATGATGAATAAAACCATAAATGAGTCTATCATATTCATTCTCATGTTTGTAAGTTTAGATGATATGTTGGACATGTGGGTCACGTGATCATGGATTAAGCGGAATCAGTCGAACTTTTATAGTGGTGAGCTCGCTCATGAAACTTTCCACAGTAGACTTTTCCGCAACTTTAAATGGAGATAGTTCCTTGATTTTTATTTAGGAGTTCTTCTGCATTATCAACCTTAATGTTATCCGTCATGATTAATTTCATAAAATTCAAACACAACCTATTTGATCGCTGATACCCTACGAAGAGTTACTTCTACTTCGGAGCTTTCATCAGTAATGATTGTGGGCGCTTCATCAGTAATTAGAGTATATCCAAATTCAGTGCACCTAATTATAAATGGATATGCTCAAACCATTCATTGAAGTTCAGCCCATTGATTTTTTCAATAATAATACTTGACGGAAAACCAAATTTAAACACTGCAATCTTTAATACATGCTATTTAATTAAGCTTTGAGAGAAAATTAATAGATTCAGAAATCTTTTAAATTATACATTTAAATATACCTTTGGGCAATACTTAAATATATAATGTATTTGATTGATGCCTAAGAGAAAAGATCTTTATTAATAATGCATCCGTTTATATTTGAAAAATTGATACATTCATTTAATTTAATTATTTATTCTATTAATTGAACTAGGCCACTTTATTGACTAACTATTATCTTTACATAGGTAATATAATTAGGAAGATATATTTGATGCGTATATTATGAGATTATAAAAACTATAACAAATCTCAATCAAGCCAGCCAACCAACTCCAATATACTTCGTATCAAATAAATAAGATTAACTAAAGTTATAGGTCCAAAGCATTCAACAGCCTTAAATCAACAGCGTTAATCTATCTCTAGAAACCATTTTAAACGGAACTAATCTTTTAATCTCAAACAGTTATATGATTTATGAAAATACCATTCATAGAAAAGAATCCATAATCACCATAAAGTAATTTTATGGCAGGCCGCAGCATATATCAGTACATTGAAATTGAAAGGAATTCTGATGCAGAATAAATATAAATATTATTATAATTATTATTATAATAATAATTATTATTATTATTATTATTAGCTTAGAGAATAAGTTAGGTTTAGTTGGAGGGGTTTATTTAAAGAGTTCTTATGCAGTGTGACGATCAGTTGATTATTGAATGATTATTGAATGAAAAATGAGATTGTGAGTTTTATCGAGAGAGTATCTCGTTCGTTTATGGTCCCACTCGTACGCTTCTCTATATCAGTTGGTATCAGCAGTCAGTACGATTCGCGATGTCGCCGGGACGAGAAGATGCCGCAGACGAACGACGTGACGCAACCTTCAACGATCGGTTTCAACAGATCGACTACCGATTTGAACAATTGGACGTGCGTTTCACGAATTGGTTTGCCGATCTTTCGACGGGAATCGAGGATGTGCATTTGACGCTTAACAACGTGATTGTTTCGGAATTGCAGACGAACCGCGATGGGGCTGTGGGCCGTGGCTTTCGCGGGGGAGACAGAGGCGGCTGTGGGGGACGCAGCCATGTCGGGGCGCCCCGGCAGCGATCCCCGCCACCTCTGAACGGCATCAAGGATGGTGACTTTACCTGGTCGGCTAACCCGTTGGCAGATCGCTCACCATGGCGAGGAGACGAAGCCACAGGTCAGCCCCGAGTTTGCGAGCAGCGGCGGGCTGGAGGTAGTTTCGTACATGGAGGCGACCGTGACGACGGGAAAACCCTAAGTGCGGTCCGATTTCGCAACAAGCAGCGGCCGGAGGAGGGTTTTGCGTACCAAATTTCGGCCAATCGCGCAGCCCTAGGCGGCGATTCCCGGCGACCTGCAGCAGGTGGAGGGTCGCACGAAACCCTAGACGGTGATTTCCGTCGAGCTAATGAAGGCAAGGTCAGAGCGCGGCGGTGGCCGCAGGGGGGGCTTCGAGTCGTTGCCGACGGCAGCGACTTCCTTTGCCGCGAGGCGTGGTGGGCCGCTGAGGGCTTTTCCACGACCGACGAGCTCGATTGGCGGCAGCACCCAACCGATTTTAGCGACCATGGAGACCGCGAGGCACGGCGGGGCCAACGCTGGGCAGCGACGGATTTTGTTGAATCTGGTTTTCGTGATCGGCGGCGCGTTGCCGTAGGGTTCGCCAGTGATGGCGGCCGCGGTGCGTGGCGAGTCAGTGAGGACGAGGCTGGGTACGGAGGTGCTACCCTTTTTGGATTTCACAGTGGTAGGGTACAGGTACAGAGGAGAGCGGCGGAAGACTTTGGACGTAGGGCGTGTGACGGAGACGAATTAAGTCCCACTTTTGGGCCTCGCAAAAACATTTTTTGGGCCTGTGACATAGCTGCGGATATTGGGCCTGTGTAGAGGGATTTTGGTCGCGAATTTGGTCAATTGGTGAGCCCTTTTTGTGTTGACGTCCTCGATTTGGACGGCAAGCACGTCGACGGGCCATTGTACGACGGTCCGCCAAATTTTGATGAGGAGCCTCTGGTGACGAAGACATATTTTTGCCACAATAAGGGTCCCGCGCGGGACGTCGCAACGGTTGAGTCTTCAAATGGGCAGTCGTCATTCACACCCGAATTTTTGAGGATTTTGGCCAAAGATGGTTTTTCGGAGCCGAAGCCGATGCTCAATAACCGGTGGGCCATTTTCCGATTGCCTATCGCAAAGTCTCCCACCAACGGGATGCTTGGTCGTTGTTATGGATTTTAGCACGTCAAATGAGGTGGTATATTTTGTGTTATTTCAGTTGAGTGGGCTTTGCTTATGGTGGCGTGTACATGTGCCTTTGCAGCACTTAAGTCATTGATTGAGTTTATGTTTACCTTCGACGTTGTTGGACGACCTTCAACATTCGTGTTCGATCGAGGGAAACGTCGGGGGTCTTCTTGTCATGAGGACGTCTCCAACGGGAACGTGTCGGATTCGAGGGCAAATCCTGCTCAACCGGGGGAGAATGATGCAGAATAAATATAAATATTATTATTATTATTATTATTATTATTATTATTATTATTATTATTATTATTATTATTAGTAGTAGTAGTAGTAGTAGTAGTAGTAGTAGTAGTAGTAGTAGTAGTAGTAGTAGTAGTAGTAGTAGCTTAGAGAATAAGTTAGGTTTAGTTGGAGGGGTTTATTTAAAGAGTTCTTATGCAGTGTGACGATCAGTTGATTATTGAATGATTATTGAATGAAAAATGAGATTGTGAGTTTTATCGAGAGAGTATCTCGTTCGTTTATGGTCCCACTCGTACGCTTCCCTACATCAAATTCAATATTGGCAAAACAATCAGCCCGCATACATAAGGCAATTCAATTTTTGAATTAGCAAAACATTAACTCTAGTCGGCAAAATATGCACTAGTATGCAAGAAACTTTAATGGCAATATAATCGTGCGTCAACACGAGCTCTGATACCACATGTAAGAAATTTAACGGGTATATTCATAACTATTAGGCGGAATTGAATAAACCCTAAACATGTAATTCTATCAATTCATAAAATATGGATCTTTGCATAAATTAAATTGCACATAGAACTTACAAGAATCCAGCTTATAGTCTTTCCCTGTTTTCTTGATCTATGATGTTGATCTGTGATCTCTTCCTCGTAATCTTCAATCATGGATTTGTCCTATGAATTGTTTCTCTCTCCTCTTGTTTTCTTGATCTATGATGTTTATCTGTGATCTCTCTTCCAATCATGGATTTGTCCTATGAATTGTTTCTCTCTCCCCCTGTTTTCTTGATCTATAATGTTGATCTGTGATCTCTCTTCCTCGTAATCTCCAATCAGGGATTTGTCCTATAAATTGTTTCTCTCTCTCGCGTCTCTCGTCTTTTTATAAAGCCCTTGATGTTGAGAACTCGTATGAGATGGGAGAGATGGACATGTAGTATATATAGGAGGAGACTTACAAACCTATTCCTACTAACATTCTCCATGTTCTAACCTAACTTAATGTCTAAGTCAAACATCACAAATTGAACTCTTTAATATTAGAACATTAATAATACATTAAATACATATTCTCCTTAACTAAGTTTAACTATCAATTCATTTAGGTCCAACTAATTATATGGTCCACAATAATAGAATAATATAAAATATTATTACACAACTTGAATTTCATTAGCTTGAATTTCGTATGAATTTTCAAGTAGAAGGTCTTTATTCAAATCAGATTTTTTCTCGAGTTTGACTCGAGTCTTGGTTAAATCAGAGGTATTTAGATAAATTACACTTATGCTCCAACAACTTGTCGAACACTTAAACTTGTAACATAGATTCTAGAGCTCGACTCGATTGGTTTGACTCGTGCTTGAACCGAGTTTTAACTTACATTGTCAATTTCATTGTAGTCTTACTTAAATTAAATNAAAAAAAAAAAAAAAAAAACAAACAAACAAACAAACATATATTGAGTATTTACATCATCGATCACATGGGAGCAAAGAAATTCACAAAGGTCCCAAACCTTGCTTGAAATGTTCAATGGTCAATGGTCAAGCGTTGACACGTGGCACACAGCACTGGCCTCATGCAATTGAAAAGTATTTTCTACAAAAATTAATTAACAAATGATCAAAACAATATGGAAAATTCTTTCCGAAAACAAAAGTCAAAATATTAGCGTGTCGTATGATTCATCATAACATCTTGTACTCAAATCAAACTTGAGTTCGCAGCAAATGATCTGTTTTGACTCTGGCAAATGTAAAAAATTGACCGATCACTTGGCCTTATTAAAGATTTAATAAGTCGCGTAAATTTTGAAGTTTTAGCATATCATGCGATCTTGTGCTGTCATTCTATTTTGTTTACCACAAGACACGAAGGAAGTTACTGAAATGATAGAAGCGGTGTAGGTGGGCCGGGAATAATATTTTTTAAATAAAGATACATAATTTTAAATTAAAGTATAAATATTTTATAAAAAGTATAAATAAAAGTTGTATATCATATAATATATAAATATAAGTATTTTTATTACATACTTAATACAATATTTTAGAAAAGAGTATAAATAAAAGTTTTATATTACATAATATAAGTAAGTATTTTTATCACATCATTTTCAATAGTAACATTGTAATTAATTTTTGCAAATTGATGTACGCGGTGGCCTAGTCATTTTGACATATTCACCTGTCATATTTTCTTAATAAAATATTTATTCATGTTATGAAATATTATACTTTTATTTATGTTATTTTTAAATTGTATAACATTTTAATTTGAATTTATGCATATCCATTTGAAAGAACAATATAATTGTTTAGTCTTTTGATCTGTCTACTACTAGTCTTACCATTATTTCTCAGGCTGAAGGGTGGGTTTCTTTACTTAAAAAAAATAAGAAAAAATAAAGTGGACAAGAACAAAACAAAAAAAAAAAGTTGTGGAAATAAACAAAATACACGTATTCTGAAAATACGTTTTTTTTGCAAATTGTCATTGAATTGGTTACAAGCAGGACGAGGTACTGAACATACAGCGTTGCGTTCACACTAGAGACGACAGGACGAGGTACTGAATTGGTTAATTACGGTACCGTCCCTTGTGTGAACGCAGGACGAGGTACTGAATTGGTTAATAACGGTACCATCCTTAGTGTGGGAACACAGCATTGCGTTCACACTAGGGACGGTACCGTAATTAATCAATTCAAGTGTGAACGCACGTATTCTGAAAATACGTTTTTCAATGATAATTTGTAAAGAAAACGTATTCTCAGAATACTAATTTTTTATTTTGGTCCAAAATTTTTTTTTTTACTTTTATTTGTGTCCACTTGTTTTTTTGTTTTTTATATGATATAGGCTACTTATACAAATAAAGTACTTTGAAAATATAAGTACTACTCCCTTCTATTTTTATTATTTGTTAAATAAATGTCGTTTTGGTTATTTTGTACATATTTTTCCATTATTAACCTCATCTAACTAATAAATACACTACGTCTTTTCATATCCACTCTCTATCTTTTTTCAAAACATCAATCTCTATCCTCATTAATGAGGGTTATTATTGATAAAAAAAATATTTTTAATTATTGTGCAACTTCTCACATTTATTAAAAATAGGAGGAAGTAATAAATAAATAAAGGTATCTCGGATCAATAATAAAAAGCCCTCACTACTCATCATCAGCTGCCCCCATTACCCCAATACAGCTATAGAAAAAGAACAAGCACAAAAGCTGAAAGCTTTTTAACACCTCCAAACTGAATCACACAAAAAATCCCCACAAAGAATCACAAAATTCACACAATATTATTCCCCCAAAAAAAACCCTTTTCTCCACTATTTTTACTTTTATTTTCTTATTATTATTATTATTAAAAAATGGAGAAATTTTCAAGATCCAAATCAACAAGGGACAACCCAGGAGGAGTGTATCCGAGTATGCGTGATCTGAGAAGCTTCAGCACTTCAGGGTACAATCCCAACCAAAGTCGTGATTTTGTGAGTGACAACTTTAAGGACATGAAAACCAAGAATGGAAATAACAATAATAGTAATAACAAGAGCAAAATTGCATCTTGCTCCACCAAGAATTGGAATTTCAACGTGGACCCAGAATTGCAGAGGAAGAAAAGAGTTGCGAGCTACAAAGCTTATTCGGTGGAGGGCAAAATGAAGAGCTCGTTCAGAAAGAGCTTCAGGTGGATGAAGGATATTGTTCATGGAATTTGGTGATTTTAACGTCTTATAATACCTATGGAGGTATTTGAATTGTCTTTTTTCTTCTTTTTTTTTTTNTCGTTTTTTCTTTCTATTTTTTGGGTATTTGTTTGAAGGTCTTTCCTATATGATTATAAAAAGAAATTATGAAGATCTTGGGCAAAACAATTGTACTATGAATATATGGTGCAGATTGATTTAATGTCATGAAATTAATTTTTTTTTTCTCCTTTTATCTGCAGAAAAATGTGAAGATCTTGATGATTTAAGAGTTTTTATCTAGTAGATTAATCGATCCTACTAATGGGTAATGTCCAGAGTTTTAACCATTAGATCAGATATATTTGTACGAGTCACTAATTGATAAAAGACAATTAGGGAGGTTGAAATTTACTCTAATACAGAAGGAAAATTAATGTTGAAACAAGGCATTAGTTTTCTACTTTTTTCTATCATTATATTAACTTTGATAATTTATATTGGCTTTGCTAATTAATGGTTAGTTATTAGAGGATTGTATTAATTGTTTTGACTAGCGGATTGCGTTGACTGTTTTGATCCGTATTACTGGTTTGTAAAAAATTAAAATTAGCTATTTTGATTAATTCTTAATATGTAAGATTTACTGATAAGAACATTAACATACTTTATCATTTTAATTTATGTTGAACTTATATTTATTTAAGAAATAGAAATAATTAATATTTTATATATTTATTAAAATAATTTAAATATAATTAAAATAAATAATAATATAGAATATTTTATAATGTAAATAAGTTTAATAAAAAAATATAAATAATAATTGAGTCAAAAAAAATCTCTAACTATGTGACTTGAGAATATGGGTGTTCACATTAGAAAAAGAAAGATTAATTAATTAATTTTAATTGTTTTATTAAAAAATCAATTCCAAACACCGCAAGTAGCAGCGTTTCATATTTGGAGCTTTGCTCATTAAAAAGCTAGCTTGAATGGCCTTCAACCAAATATATTTTTAAGCGGATTGATAAAGTCT